CCCTAGCCTATCTACCATAAGAATATGAGCGAAATCGAATTTTCGAGCCTTGCCGCGAAATTAAGAATTTGTTTGATTTTTACAGGCAGGCACTCTTTATATATTCTTTTTATAGTCTCACCTATTTTTGTATATATTTGTAGCTGTTATCTTTTCCATTTTTATCCATCGAAGGCTGTAGTCTGACAGCCGAAAGCTCTGAAAGTTTTAACCTTATATAGCCAGTGAACTTTTTTTATAAATTTTTTCTTCATTTTTTTAACTTGAGGAGCATAATTCGCACACCAAAATTATACAATAAAAATGTGTAGTTTTTCGCTGTCGAGCTCAGCTAGAAGGAAATCTGTTATGTTGCGTACGGACACGCGCTCGTGAGCGCACGCTAATAAAGCGGAAACATGCGCAGTAGGGATGCGCAATGCATTCTGAGGAATCACCTGAACAATTATTACACGAGCGAAGGTGGATATGAGATGGTAGATAGCCAACGAAGCGCGTAAAGGCTATAAGGTTATAACCATCTCATATCCAACAAGCGCTCACTCGTGAGATATCGAGTTGAACACTCGAAGAGATATTCCATATCTACGCGCGCCCATGTATTTTCCTCTATATTCATTATGATGGCTAAGCCAATGAAAACTTCTGAATTGCAGTGTCCAATGATTCACTTTTTAATAATTAACAATTGTTCCACGAGCGCGCGTTCGATATCAGATGATGGATAGCCAACGAGGCCCATAGGCTATAATCATCTCATAGGCAATAAGCGCGAGTAGAATAACGGTTTTACTAAAAATCGCACGCCCAAAAAGGATAAATCTCCCCGATTTTATTTTGTAAGAACAAACGGGATGTTACAATGTACAAACAACTTCCCGAGAAATTCGTTCTCATGGTATGTCACATGACTATCAAGAAAATGTCAAATCCTGCGCGAGTCGTTCTGAATCAATTCTAAAGCGCGACAATCAAAGCACGTCGCGTTCCTCAAACAAAGTGAAAAATATTCTGTTGACGCTTACAAGAAAGATTTTATAGGGGTCTTATACCCTCAGATATAAATTTTTCTCCAAAAAACGTTTTTCAAAACATGAATATTCAACATACCTGACCATTTGCAATCGTATTTTGGAACGATTTTGTTCTAATTACCCCTTGATTTACGTTTAAACTAAGAAATCTGCAGCACCCATAGCAATGGTTGTTTACAGCCAAAAAGTACTCACAAAATGGATTCAATTTATTACATTTTAATGGTACTTTACAGGAAAGCTTTAGAGCTGTGTACTTATGAGAATTTTGCATCCTTTTCCTGAACATTGTGTTCTCTACCATCTTATACGCTCTTAATACTTGGTTAACATTTCTGACTGATGTGTATTCGGGTATTCAATGGAACATTTATGTAAAACCTTTCGATATACCCCCTCCCCCTGCCTCTACTCCCCCCTCTCTCCGTTCACAGGGTTAATTTGGGCTCTCGGAGCGTTATTTCTCAAAATGAACAAATGAATGGATCACCAATATCTCGCACAAGATATCTCCGCTGGGTTTCAACCGAATATTGTCAAAATTTTCAAGATTGGTAAAGGACTCGATTATTTAGGTCGTAAAATTCTAAAATTTGCAATTTGTGAAATGTTTTTCCTGTTATCATGATTCAGTTAATTAGATTAGATTAGATTAGTTATTATTAGTACAATTTTTCCAATTTTTACGAGAAAAAAAAAAACTCAAAACACTGTTTTCTGAGATTTGCGCCATGATTGGTGAGTTGGGGCTGAATCCCTGCTCGAGAGCTCATTGACTTCAACATCGAGTTTGAAGTGTCCACTCCAAGAGGCAAACTGCAATACATGTGCTTTATCTTAGTCAGGATAAAAGCTTCTAGCTCGCCAGGACGCTGAAAAAGGCATCTAACTTCGGATTCAAGTGGGACAGGTAATTTTCTATGGTTTTCATCGGACATTTGGCAGATTCTGGACAGAAAATATTTTCGCGTCCGACTCATCTTCGGAGTCGGAAAGGGCACCTTGATGATTTTTCGTCGTTGCCATGAGCCGGGAAACTCTCTGTTGAGATCAAAATACTTTTCTCTTTGTGGAGTAGGTCTGAGGGCAAGCATGGCAGATTTCATATCTCGCTGGTTTCTCTACAACATCTTCCGAAGTATATGCCAAGGTAGAACCACGGTGTTCTTTGAAGCTGTGCTTGATCTTTCGTGTCCGCAGAACCAAGTTCACCGGCTTGGAAGAGTTTCTCAACTTGTTGTTTAGAGATCGATTTTTATGCACAACACCACTTATTTTGCCTGACTTTTCTCAGTTCCTTGACAAATGCGTCAAGATTTTGTTTGTTTCGGTGAAAGTGGAGTCGTCAACGATAAAAAACAATTGGAGTTTCAGTGGAGGCATGCCAAAATACCTGTCAATTGCCTTCAAGGAAGATGCCTCAGCAAATTGACCGTCCTGTCTTCTTGCGGATGTATAAAAACTTTTTAGGCAGGCATTGAGTTCCTTTTCACTTGTTTTCTCGATTGGCGTAACATTGACTTCGCTCCCGGAAGTTAAAAGCCATTCTGACTACACTGACACGAGACATCCAATGTGACTATTACGGCTATTGGTTGTAACAATTAGGGCTTGTACTACGCCAGATACGAAAACCACTAAACTCCACCCTGTAGATGTGGCCAAAAAATACGTGGAAACGTATTCCGCATCTAATGCAGCAGCACGAGAGCCCGAGGAAAGGGTGCAAAATCAGTAATAACCCGTTCTAAAACCAAAGGGGATATTCTAAAACAGAGGAAATTTGACGAAAAGTTAAGGTTTTCGTCGTTTTTAATGCTTGTGTTTTGCAAAACCCGACCTAATTTGAGCAAATCTTGCCACGATGAACCGTATGATTGCAATATCTGCTAAATTAAAGTTGTTGAAATATTGCCCCTATTTCACTTGCTTTTTAGGAGATACTGACAAAAAACAATTAAAAATACTTATTTTTGCCAGAAATTAAGCGTTTTGGTAGGAAATTGACTTTTTCAAAAAGATTTGTTCCTTGTCATCGCTTTGAGAACTTGGAAATCTCAACTGTCTCCTTACGTACAGAAACAAAATGTCGGACTAATAGAGTCAAAATATCAGTGAAAATATCCATCCTTATTTTTCCCGTATATGCAAAGCTCACTTTGGAGGGTGGTTGGTTGCATCTTTGGTATGCCTCAGTATGACTGCG